GGCCAAAAACATAGGCTGGAGAAAAGACAGACACTTGAACAAATGTTGCTGGGAAAATTGGCTATCTACAGGCAAAATATTGAAGTTAGACCCATATCTCTCACAATATAATAAACTAATATCAAAAGCAATCAAAGATCAAAATGTTAAAACAAATAATCTGCTGGAAGATAAAATACATACAAAGACATAGGCAAGGACTTTTTTTTTAACAGAGCCTCGATGGCACAAGAAACAATATCTTGCAATTGGCCCATATGTCTATCAAAAGAAAATGTGGTATCTACACATAATGAAGTACTATTCAGCCACAAAGAAAGATAAACTTGAGTCACCTGTAGGAAAATGAATGCACTTTGAGACCAAAAGGTTAACTGAAGTAAATCAGAGACATGATTTCTCTTATGTGAGAAACCCAAAATATGTACCAACTACATACAAGGAATGTAAACATTATATACCGCAAACACATACAAAAAAGGGAGGGAATCAAGAGATGGGTGGATAGGGAGGGAAGGAAGGGAAAGGGGATGAAAAAAGAAATTAAGCTGTATTATGGACATGTACTAACTCCCCACAAGGAACGTAAACATTCACCACACACGTGCTAATCAATTTTTTAAAAAAGCAACAAAAAAAAGAATCAACAAGTGGGATTATTTAAAATTAAAAAGCTTCTGCACAGCAAAAGAAACAATCAGCAGAATGAAGAAACAAATACAGAATGAGAATAAATTTTTTGCCACCTCTTCCTTGGATAGACTACTAATATCTAGAATATATAAAAATCTCAAAAAAATTAGCTCCCTCCAAATGAAGGATCTAATAAAAAAAATAGGCCACTAAAATGAATAGACACTTCTCGGAAGTACAAACAGCCAATAAATACATGAAAAAAGTTCAGCATCTCTGGAAATTTGAAAAATGCAAACTAAAACAACACTGAGATTCCATATTACTCCAGAGAATTCCTATCATCAAGAAATCAAATTATAACAAATGCTGGTGAGGCTGTGGGGGGAAAAGCAAATGACATTTCTATTTTTGGTGAGAATATAAACTAGTATAACTACTATAGAAATCATTATGGAGATTCCTCAAAAAACTAAGAATGAAATTCCATTTGACCCAGCAATTCAACTTCTATGTATCCTCCCAAAAGAGCTAAAGATATATTATGATGACACGTGCATACCCATGTTTATAGCAGCACAACTCATAACAGCTTAATCTTGGGAAGTGGCCTATATGTCCATCAACAGATGAATGGATAAAGAAAATATCATACATAATGGAGTACACTACTATGCTGTAAAGAAGGATAAATTGAGTCATTTGTAGAAAAAGGGACGTACATTGAGACCATATGTTCAGTGAAATTAGATATACAAGCTTAAATATTGCATGGTTTCTCTTACATGAGAAGCCCAAAGTATAAATAAAGACCAAAATAAGATAGATAATAGGAAACAGGGAGATCTTTCTCAAAGGGGAAGGGGGCAAAGAGATGAGGGAGGGGGAAGAGACGGGGATACAGAAAGAATTAAGATGTGTTATATACATGTTTTAACTTACCATAATAAATGTAATCATTATGTACAGAAAGTATGTGCTAATAAAAATAAAAATTAAGAAAATAATAATATTCTACCCTTACTAGGCATGAATAATCAGAATTTTAAAATCTGACCAATAGTGCTGGGGATTTAGCTTAGTGGTTCTGCCGCCTGCCTCGAAAGCAGAAGGTCCTGAGTTCAATCCCCAGTACCAAAAAAAAAAAAGAGAAATAAAATAAAATAAAAAAAAAAAATCTGACCAATAAGAACCAAATGCCTAGGGCTGGAGATTTAGCTCAGTGGTTTCGCTGCCCACTGCACAAGCGCAAGGACCTGAGTTCGATCCCTGGTACCAAAAAAAACCACCCAAGAACCAAATGCCTTGGGCTGGGGATTTAGCTCAGTGGTTCTGGAGCCTGCCTTGCAAGCGCAAGGTTCCAAGTTCAATCCCTGGTACAAAAAAAAAAAAAAAGAACCAAATGCCTACAAACAACCATCATGTGATGATTCAAATAAACCTACAGAAGAGCCAGGTGCGGTGGCACACACCTGTGATCACAGCACCAGGGAGGCTGAAGCAGGAGGATTGCTATGAGTTTGAGACAAGTCTGGACTATACAGTGAGTTCAAAGTAAGCCTGAACTACATAACAAGACCCTGTCTGAAAAAACAGAAACAAAACAACAACAAAAAACCTACAGTAAAAATTACTTTTAAAACAATTAGTAAAATTTTTATATGGCCTGGTAGCGTATCAGTATTAGGATGATAATCACAATGAGGTTATGTTTTTGGAAGTCCCTATTTTCAGATATACATATTAAAACATACAGAGATGAAATGGCATGATGACTGAGATTTGCTTTCAAGTACTTTAGTAAAAGGAAAATAGAACAGGTGAAGTATAGTTGATAAATCAAAATGATTGGCATACACTATTAAAGTTCATAATACTATCCTTTTTATACTTGAGAATATTCAGAAAGCTTAACATGTTTTTCTAAAAGATATACATATGGATTTAAAAACCAAAATTACCTAAATAAATAAATTACGAAGTACCCCAAGGTTAAAAAAAATAAAACTGTTAGTCAAACTTGGAAGCAATAATCAAAGTTCAACTTTGCTCTTTAAAAAATAGAATGAAGTTTTTAAGTGTGGCTAGACTTAAGTGTTAAATGATATTATCAATCTTATAAAATGTTGAGGTACCATCTTTATCATCCTATTATAAGGTGCAAAAACTTTTAGTATGTTGGTAGGCATGAAAAATTGTACATAGGATGACAAATGAGTTCAGACAAAAGCAAGATCTTCAGCAGAAATGTTTTGAAAATAAAAAATACATACTGTTGCACACAGGTGCAAATAAAATTGGGAAACTCCAAGTAGATACTAAAGGTAAAGAATAGTGTAACTATGTTTGTGCTATTTTTAAAATAAGATATTTCTAATTAAAATATTCTAGCACATTATATTTGTTTGAAAATGCTTTGTAATGCACTTTTCTTTAGCTATGTTTCAAGGAAATCATAAAGCAAGTTATGAAATGAAGCAGCCTAACAGTGTGGGAACTCTAAAGAGCCAAGCTCAAAGATACATATTGTTGGGGACTAATTAAATCAATGTATCTGAGAGGTGGCAGCGCTACTCGGAGAGGTGGATTAGCTTCCTGTCCTCATTTTTATTTTCTTTTGTGTTGTTTCAATTTCTAAAGACCCTTGATATTGTCTCTCCAAAAAAAATGTTTCCCAAGAGATACCATTAGGATGCTGTGTCATCATGTGACATTTCAAAGCCCTGCTAGATGGTAGAATGGGTGAAATGAGAAATAGGTTTTCAGTAGCACAGAGCAGCCTTGTTCCCATAGGAGCCTCATGAACACTGTTTAAGCAGTCTCTTCAACTGTATGTTACTATTTTGGCTAAAGAGACACTCTTTCAACTGCTACAATATCCAATTAAAGAGAAACTTCCATCTAGACCAACTTGGAAACAGTCCTGTTAATAGCAGCTTGTCATGACAATAACTTCTCACAATCTCCTTGATACCACAACTGTAATATCTAACCATGAAGAACCCTACTTTAATATATAACTGTAAACAATAAAGAGGAATTGTTATAAATGTCATCATATAGGAGATAAAGACGTAAATGTGAATATATTTCAGCATACAATAAATGCAGTTTATCTAAAAAGGGAAACATGGCTTCTTAGTATTTCTCTACTCCTTTTCCACATACACGTTCCAAATATTATTGAAATGCATAGCATAATCATAAAATGAAAAACTTATAAAACAGCAAAGATTAAAATATAAATTTAATATAATATTATAAATTTTATTCCCATTTTACCATTTACTTTTTAAAATACAGAATGCTAAAATACTGAAATATAAAGTGAACCATATATTTAGATAAAGGGGTTTCTTTTTATGGTGAGAGATGAGGCACTTAAATATTTATGACAACAAAATGAATATGGATATTTGACAAATTTTCTTACTCTCCCTCAAAATAGTTCTATAAATTAATTTACATTAGACTTCACCAAGTACTACATATCTTTTGCAGTAGTTCAGTTCTTACTACAAAAATTAAATGAGTTCTAAATGAAATTGAAAGTATGATGGTTTTGTTCCTTACAATAATCAGATGTTAAAATAAAGATTCCCTGGCAATGGTTTTCCTTACTTTTTAAATCACATCTGTATTGACCAGCTATCAGTAGGATGACTCCTACAAGAACCAAACCAATGCCACTGATTTTTTAAAAAAATAAACTACTTGTTTTCTGCAGTAAGAGGAAATTGCCTTCTCCCTAAACAAACATATATAGCAAGAGCCATCTGACCTCATATTGCCAAGTACCAATTTAGACCTTGCAGCACAAGCTTTATTTCCATTCCTGGGCTCTCCTATTTTCCTCTTTTTTTTTGCTGGCCTCTGTTTTTATAACATCAGCACTAGTCTAGACTATGGGCAGACACAGTAAAATACTTGTGCCTAATTGGACACTAGATATCGTGGAGTAGTAGAATGTTTTTAAAAATTTAAATCAACTATTAAACTTAAAATGTACACAGATTATGAAATATTGTCCACCCCACCCCCCCAAAAAAGCTGGGCATTTGGTTTGTAAAATGATGCACTCCCAAATCCATGCATGAAGAGGTTTCCTTTTTAGTCCTCCAGCCCCTGGTGGCTCTTTTAATTTAAAGTTCTTTCTGTATCAATAGAACAGAGCTAGAGAATACAGTTTAAAATAAGGGATTTTGGCCTTGAGAACAGTCTCTTCAATAACTCTGAATTAAGGAAAAAACAAGGAAATCAGTATCTAAGCCAGCCTCTAAATCAGTATTTATTTTGAAAAAGTATTTTGACAATTTAAAATGATTCCAGAAAAAGCACATCTCTAATGGGACTGATACAGGTCTTACCTGCTGCAAGTTGCTTCTCAAATTCACCAAAAAGAAGGAGTCTCCAATAAAGCAGTCATTCTCTCGCGGATGAAGGAGCTTATTAGCAAAGGGGTCAGGATGACAGCACCACTCTTCAACTAGAGCGCCCCAGTTCTCACTGGGCAGTGGGAGCACTCTGAGGAGCTTCCTAGCAGAAAAAGGAAAAACTATTTTTCACGGTACAAAGTAGAACTAACATTTTCTTAATTAAATCAGCATGAAAGACAACAGGCGCTTATTAGCCACATGCTTGCAATGTTAATTTTCCCCAATTATAAAAGTAATATATACTTATGACAGACAATTTGGAAAATGTAAAGAGGTATAAAAATAATCCTTGTCTCACCAGCCAAGGATAAGTATATACTGGTTTATGAACTTAATTTGTTTTATAATTTTAGGGATATTAGTATGTTCTTATGAATTTGCAAAAATGTGTATTTTATATACTTTATTATCCCCTTATATTTTTTCAGTGTTATTGCTTTTTAATTTGGCTTATGTGTGTTAAGTTTTAAATCATCTAAAACGTTCTTCTTTAATTCTTCCATTATTCTATTCTAATAAACTTTTTAAGTAATTTTATTTATTTATGTATATATTTTTGGTACTGGAGATCGAACTCGAGACCCTTGCACTTGCGAGGCAGGCGGCAGAACCACTAAGCTAAATCCCTGGCCCAATTTAGGTAATTTTAGATATACAGAAAAGTTATAAAGACAGTATAGGCAGTTGCCATATACACTTCATCTAGCTTTCTCTAAAGTTAATACAGTATCGTACACAGCCATAGTAGATTTGTCAAAACTAGACTATTTGGATTTCACCAGTTTTTCTACAATATCCCTTTTTTTTCAGTTCAATGTATGGTAACATATTACATTTAGTCATCATGTGTCTCCGGTCTCCCCTGGTCTGTGACAATTGCTCCGTCTTTATTTTTCAGGACCTTGAGATATTTGAAGAGTAACAGCCAGGCAACCCACAAAATATCCTTAAATTTAAGCTTATCTAGTATTGTCTTAAGATTAAACTGCAGTTACAGTTTTGGAAAAAGCAATTCTACATATGTGAGGTACTCTTCTCATCACATCAAATCACAGTGCATATTATATCAAAATGACATCACTGGTGATGTTAATCTTGATCACCTGGTTAAAGTGGTATTTCCTATTTCTCCCACCAGTAAATACTAGCAAATTAAGATATACACTACTTATAAGTTTTAAGTTAAGATACTTAAGATATGGTTACATCTTTTTTAAAAATTAAATTCATTTTTGTATCTTTTAAAAAATATTTACCCATGTTAACCATTTCTCTTTGATTCCTTGATCAACTGTGAGTATCACAAAACACCAATTACAGCTTGGAAGAAGGTAGACATGTAATTTATAACTCCAAAGGATAGAGCTAGGAATGAGAAAGGCCAATTTTAGGGAGAACTATAGAAATATATAAAACTTTCCCTTTCAAATTAGGAAATGCTATATCACTGGCATCATTCACGCTGCCCAGCCTGTGAGGATATTGAGAAGTAATAGTTTCAATGTACATTTCCTCAAGTCTATTATTAATCAGGCATTCTGTTGGCACAAGATAAGAACACATACAGTCCCTTCTTTCAAACTATTCACATTTAATAGGAAATACAGAGTTATACACAGTAACAAAATCACATGTAAGAAGTGGGTTTCTAAACTCTTGGGGACAAGAGGTTATACAGGCTCTTTTGAAAATTTGATGAGAGTATTACCCTCTTTCCTCAAACATACATTCCCACATGCACAAAAAAATTTAGGGGATTCAGAACAATACATACAAAGTGCTAGGGAAGTTGATTATGTGTGAACTTCAAAGAAGTAACATCTGAACTGGCCTTTGAAGGATAGTTTCCCAGGCAATGAAAGGAACAATGTGAAGATAGGCATTGGATTTGTTTACCTAACTACTATACACCTACTGTGTAACACAGTTCCTTAAATATTTGTTGAAGAAATGAACTAGCATATTTGGCTAACTATAATATGAGAGGTCCCTGGCTGGGCTTATTGCATACTGGGATCAAAGAGTTAACAAATCTTTTCCCTTGCTGCTTAAGACTCTGACCTTTAGTTTAACTACCTAGTTCTGTTACCCTGGAAACCAGGTAAGCTCATAGGCATCAAATATATTGCTAGGCAACACTGCTTACAGTAAAAATGATCCCTGATTGGTAAACTACATCTGGACTGGAAGAAACTATGGATGGGCTGTAAACATCTGATAAGAATCCCATGCTTTGTGCTTCCCTGAATGTAGTCCCTTGTGAGGAACCCAAGAAACTATTGCCAAAGAATTATTAGCAGAGACACTGCTTAGAGCCTCAGGCTTCTTCTAAGCCAGGGAAGCCATTACAATTTCCTGACACAGATCTTGTGCTTTGAAATGGGAATCATGTCACTTAAGGAGACAAAAGTCCCCAGGTGACTATATAAACAATCACTTGCAGGAAATGCTGCAGAGTCCCCGCTAAGAGGAATTCTTCATGCTGCCCAGCTGGCAAGCTGAGGCCTATGGTAGTCTTTCAAGTCTGCATGTGTAGATGAACTGAAGAAGACCCTTTGGGGACACCTATCCACCTTTAATGCCCAAGACTTTGTGAGAGAAGAATTACCATTCCCCGGTTGGCAGAGGAGAAAAGTGAGGCTCAGAAATGTTAAATAATCTGCTCAAGTTCACAGAATCAGAGGTGTGACATGATGTCAGGATCTTAACCCAGATCTTTCTGACTCCAAAACTAAATTATTTTCTTGGGAATATATTCCCTCCCCTAGTAACTCAATAGAGGAGACTGGGCAGATGGGATGGTGGCAAACTGTATGAGGTATTACATGCCATGCCATGAGATAAGACTTGGTCCTATACAGGAGTGGGCAGCATTGTAGCATCTGAGGAAGTGACAGGTCAGATTAGATTTTGGGGGGCTTTGTTTTATTTGAGACAGGGTCATACTACATAGTTTTCAGAATTTTTACCAAGAAGTAGAGTAAGAATTGGGTCTAAATAAAGTTGAGGATTGTCTCCATCACTAAGGTTCTCCGTCTCCTGACATTCTGCATGTAGGCCTAATAAACATACCCCTTAAAACAGTGCAAAAGACAGCAATGTCAATCCCATAAATGATTAAAGAAATGAAAGTGCATTTACAGAGACTTGATGAACATTAATACAAAATAGGATATTTCAAAGTGAACTTGACCCCATATCACAGTGAATAAAAGCTGTAATACATTCTTTAACCAGCTATGTAAGACATTAGGAGCAAGAAAGTGCCTAATTTGCAAGTCACTGGAAAGATAAAAGGGTTTTTATAGCAGAAAGAAATTTTTCTGATGTTCTGAAAAAACATAAAACCTTTCAGAACAAAAGATGTATTTTAATCACACTTCTACTGCAAGTATATCTATCTAAAACCCTGAAAAGTGTACTTTGATATGATCTACTTCCCAGGAGAACTTTCAAAACAAAATAGATACCATTTTTTCCAAGGTAATTGAGGTGAAAATCTGCTGAAGCTCAGAAAGAGTAAAATGACTTCTTAAATGTTCTCTGAGCTTAAGGTTTTATGATGAACATTACATGTTTAAACTAAATTAAAATTTGTTAGCTATATTTAATGCACCAAGAGTATACCTTTTGGGAAATAATAACTTGTAACACGTAACTTTAATAAACACTATTTATTGCTGTTGTTTTATGTGATATTCAAACATACATGCATACACATGTTCATAACAGCACAATTTATAATAGCTAGCTCTTGAAAAGTGTATACATCCATCAACAGATGAACGGATAAACAAAATGTGGTATTTATGCACAATGTAGTACTACTCTACCATAAAGAAAGATAAACTTGAGGCATGACGTTAAGTAAAATAAGTCAGACACACAAGCTTAAATATCCCATGGTTTCTCTTATATAAGAAATTATACACACACGGTGGGGGGGGGAGAACAAAATAGAAGATAGATAAAAAAGTAGGGAGAAATTCAAATAATTTTCCAAATTATCTATTAGTTATTTAAAAAATATTTTTTAAATATATGCTAATTTGTTTCATGTATACTACTAGTTTCTTTTTGTTCACTGAAAAGAAAGTTTTGTTCTTTTTGTTTCTACTTTGTAGGACACTTTTTTTGGTCTATGACTTGTACTCTGAGTAACATTTTGACCATTCTTTTAAGATCATGATACACGGTATAGTAACTGTTATTCTTTATTTTGTTATAAAATTTTGTTTTATACTTTTCATATGGGAGTGCTTTTTATGTTTTCTTTATTAATATCTATGTGTATCATATAAAAATAAAAAATAAAAAATGATCGGAACTTTAAAACCAGTCATTAATCAATGATAACATCAATGACAGGTAATAACATACAGCTTTTACAGACTGAATTACAACCGAGTATTAATGACCTTAAGAATAACAAGTATCAAAAGCTCAAAATATGGCTGCTTAAATTTAGACAAATTTAGGTGACATTCTCCAACCAGTAGGCCACAAATCCCATAAACTAACTTTGCATTTTAATACTGTTATGTACATAGTATGATTAGGCCCATAAAAGTATTGTAATTTTATTCTAAAAGTTTGTGCACTATTGCCAGCAGTCAAGTTTTGTACTCTTTTGCAGGGAGGGGTGTGGTTATTGGGGATAGAACCCAGGGACATGCTAAGCATGTGCTTTAGCACTGGGCTATACTCCAAGTTCTGTACTCTTTTCTAACCTCTTTGTTCTCTTTCATTAAAAAAGCGACTGTATTCACAAGAGTAGTTATTAGATTACAATTACAGTTGGTCTGCCAAATGGATCAATCAAGTGGTTTGATATTCTGGTATCTCACATTTCCATGAGGGGCATCCTGCTGGCCTCCTAGGGTTTCAGTGTTTTCATGAGCTCCTGCTGGTACAGGATGGACTGATCCAGAGACAGGATGAACTGATCTAAAGACCACAGGAGAACACTCCCACCCCAACATTCTCAAAGTCAAAAGGCTTGGGTTTGAAAATCTGATTGGCCAACTCTCACATGAGTGTATTTCAAGAAAACATAACAAATTGCAAACACACTGATCACTTGGCTATTTCTAAGACTGCTCACAAAGAAGTAATTTTTATTATTACTGCCTGATACTATGACCTGTGTAGTCTCAAAAAGATCAAAATCAAAAATTGAACACATTCGTACAGATTTTATAGAAAAACTTTGTTGATCTACTAAAACTTAAATTGGAAAACTTTAATAAAGAAACAAGGCATTACTTACTTTCAGAAAACCAAAACAAAATGACTAAGAATATGTGACCCTAAGTAAAGAAAAAGGGCTATTAAAATTAGCAGACTTCATGTGATGGTGCTAAGTACTAAATGGCATTAATGAGTCATGCTGGGTTTCTGTATCTTATTTCTATAGTTTGCTTGACAAGAACCTTTCCCACTGGAAAAAAAAAAAGTAACGAGTTTTAGCCTTGCACTATCCAAATAGGAACCATCACAGAAATTCAAACTACAACTTCATTGAGGCTCACTGATCAGAAAAATTTCATGCTGCTAAGACTGACAGGTTTATCTAATCTAACTTTTTCATTTTACAGATAAGGAAACTGAGGCCCATAAAATTAAAGTAATTTACTTCCAGATAAGAAAGCTAGCCAGTAAGTAGATTTTAACTCTGCTCCATGACTCCCAGTGTGGATCAGTCAACACAGACCAAGGATATAAGCCTCTTCCTTGGAAAGATGCTTACAATTAGTTGATTTTGATGACAACACACACACAACCTCTTCTGGAACACTTTTGGCTTTGTTTTCTACTTAAAGAGCACCAAAGTTCTCCTTCCCACTCCCATATATAGTAATAAGGAATGAAGGGAGAAGAAAATCATAGATCAGCATGAGATCTATGTGCTGACACTGGAGGAAGCATATCTTTCCACTATTTGAAGAGTCATGGGGTGCACTACCCGAGAGTGAGATGTGAACAAGGTCTTCAGTCAAGGATTTGTCCATTTGTTCAAGAGGCATACCTTGTCCAGATACAGAGGTATGCTAAGAAAAGGCTCTCAGGTAAGCCTTGCTTAAACAAGGCAAGGGCCAAGTACACTGTTTATGATCTCAGAGAGAGGTGATTCATTTCTCTGATATATATAGACTATGTGAATCAGAAGTTTTGAATACTAAACTAGATTATTTGCTACTTTTCTAAAAAGAACACTTTGAAAAGGGGGGTAGGTCCATAAAAATACTTACAAAGAGTTTGTTGGGCATTTACTCTTATATATTATATTCCTTAACTCTTGACAAGTTTGGAAAACAGTCCTATGAGAAGAAGCTGAGGTGATGCAAACCTGATCCTCAGCTACTAAGTGGTAAAGCTGAAGTTCAAACACAGGTCCCTTCCTCGAACTCTTGCTTCCATACTCCAGGGCCTCCTGATGCTCAGGGTTATGGAGAATAAATGAAGCTGTTCTCCAATGTCAGCCTCCATGCCCTTCTATAGCTTGCCTCCATGCCCTTCTATAGCTTACCTCCATGGTGGTAGAGAGGATTGACAAAAACAGAAGATATAGCTCCTGAATAGGAAACCCGGCATCTTTCATATCCTCATCCTTTTCCAGTGAAGCACAAATACCAATTGATAAAGAAAACTGATATCCCTTACTAGAATGGGTAGCAGAACTACTATTACACTGAATTTAACTTGTTCAAACTGTTAACTTCCAAGTCACCTCATTGTTGTACAGAAGTGAATGTTTCAGAAACTTCGTCTGAGAATTAAACCAAAGCCTGAAATAAGCTGAGAGGAGGATAAAGTTCTTGGTTAAATGGCAATAAAACTGGGATCTTTTGGATCTTTCCAGATAAAGCGGGCCTGTCCCCAAGTAACTTTGACCAAGGATGCTCCTCTCTCCTCTGTAGATTTAAAGTCACATCATTCCTTACTCAATATAATCATTCTGATGATGCTCCCTTTGTAACCTCTCAAGAGTTACACGAGGGTAATTTGGGACATCTCCTCTACGTGGAATACTGTCAAGAACCAGAGAGCAAACAAGACAGGTTGGTGGAAGCCCAAAATAAATACACTAGAGTTTATTCCACTCAACCCAGCAAAAATATATTGGGAGTACATTATTCATCAGGCACTGTGCATGATGCTGAGGATGATGACAATAAAAATAATTATCACAATAGCTAACATATATTCAGAATTTGCCATGTACCAGGCACTAGTATTATTAACACTTAAAACCATTTGATCCCCCCCGACAACCCTAGGAGGTAAGTCATATTGTCATTCACAGTATCTCAATAAGGAAATCAAAGCACAGAGCGATTAAGTAATTTACCCACAATCATACAGCTAGTAAACTGTGGATAAAAACTCAGTATGCCTTCTGAGTTTGTTTGCTAGCCACTATCATAGTTGCAATGAAGTAGGAATAAAGGATACAGAGGTTAATATGACTATCCCCGCCTATAGGGCTTACAGTTTAATTATGAAGACAGGCAAATAAACCTCAGTAGAGCACCTAACACAACCCAGCTTTCAAGGAAGGTTCCCAGTAGCATGCCTTATCTTTGCACAGGTCGGAGGAGCTGAGCAGGGGAGACATGGAGGGGGTGGGGGTGGACAGCGCATTTAGAATGAGCAGCTTTCACAAGGTCCCAGGGTGAAGAAGACCACTGAAAAGATCGTGAGACTGCACGCTGATCACCTGAGCTGCACAGAGAATACAAGCAATAACAGTGTGTGTTGTGGCGGTGTGTGTGCATGGGGTATGCGGGAGAGGGCGAGAAAGTGGAGGTGGAGAGATAAACTCACAAAAGAATGAACAAGGCATACTAAGTATTTAAAGGCTGCATCCTGATTAAGTGAAATAAATCAGACACACCAGCTTAAATATTGGATGGTTTCTCTCATATGACAAATCCAAATATAAATAAATTAAAAGAACAAAATAAGATAGATAACAGGAAACAGGGAAATAAACCTTTTGTAAAAAGGAAGGAGACCAAGAGATGAAGGGAGGGGGGATAAAGGGCAGGGAAAGGGGATTTAAAAAAAGAATTAAGATGTTATGCACATATAACAACTACCCATGATGAATGTTATCATTATGAACAGCAAACATGTACTAATACAAATTTTTTAAAGAATAGAAAAGGAATGCATTCTGAAATGGGGGATCATGGGAAGGTTTGAACAGAGGGGCATTTTAGAATAACTGCTCAGTAGTGTAGCAATGGATCAAAGGAAGGCAAAATTAGAAGGCTAAGCAGATGCAGAACTGGCAACAACTGTAATTAGGTGAGAAAACAGTGACCTTGACTGAGGCAGTGACACTGGTGGGTGAAGAGAAGTAAACCTGTGATCCAAAGGAAGTTGCCAAAATACCTGGTGACTATTTCTGGGGAGACAGGGAGGAACCCAAGGCAACAGCACCAGGTTTCTACCTTGAGGACACAGGTAAAGGGATAGTATTATTGAGACAAAGACACTGGAAAAGCAGTTTCATATATGAAGAATCTTCATTTATAGATGCTTCTCTCAGGAAACCCATTCATGCAGAATTCTAAATTGTTTCTTTAAATATTGTTAACAGTAATAAGATTTTATTTGTCTTTCCAGCCTATGAGTGATTAGAAGCTGAATATTCTGGGAGAGGGGTTTATACCAAAGAAACAAGCTGACAGGAGGATGACAGAAGACAAAAAATAATTTAAAAAGCCAACTTAGAAATGCAAAGAAAATAGCAAAGAGCCCTTTCTGCCTCAATAGGGTAATCACAGCACACCACAAAATGGGTTACAAGATTAACCTAATCACTGAGAAAAGGTTAATTTGTGCTCTCTATGCTCTGTTTTACGAAGAGGGGAAAATAGGAAATGGATTTTAGAAAGGCACTGATAGAAACAGCTCAGATCAAAAATCCTGCTGCACAAGCTTCTATGAGGCAGAAAATTCACTTATGTGGAAACTCTGTCACCACCACAAGGGATAAAACATGAGAGATAGATCCTGTGTCTCTTTTTGGGAAGAGAGGTGCTTCAGTGATGGGCCCAGGCTCTTCCACCAAGCCCAGCCTTCTTCCCTCAACCAGCCTTCCACAGCTGCCCTTATCACCTTAGGAATAGTTCCATTCTCATCACTGTTGAGGTTTGTGGTTTCTTTTATTCAAACAGACATAAAGGCCATATATTCATTTTAGGAGCATCTATACTGCTCCCTTTGTAATTACTTCCAAAATTCTGATAAAGAAAAAAGCCACTGCTAGGCACAGACTTAATCATTTCTAAATGCATCCTTACCTGTCCCTTATTATGACTTCACCGCAGGACTGGCAATAAAATGTGCAACATTCTTGGGCTTGTGAGCTCTGATTAAAGATTGAAATCAGTTCTAAAGGAAAATTAAGGAAATACCAAATCTTAGATGTTTGGAACATAGTAATATACTTAAAAGGTTTACTAGCCACAATAAAGTACCATCAGTACACACTGTTTATGATCTACCCAGAAGTACACATTTAATTAGTATTATCAGATGACTCAACCAGAAGTAAATATTGTAAAGTGTTTTCAGAGACAGATTTTGCTAAATGTTTCAGAGCTAAGCAGTGCCCTGGTTATCCATGTAACATGAGAACATTACTTCTCTCATTCTATGAATGAGGCTTATGAGTAAAAGGTGAGTGAAGAGGGCCTACTTTGTGTCTAGCCATGGCCTTCCCAGCTCTTTCCCAGCCATGGCTTTCCTCTGCTCCATCTCACTGTATGGTTCAGCAGCAGCATAACTGCTGGGAAAGAGAGCTCTGAAAATGTAAATTTAATCTAGTTTTAACAAGGTTTATGTCCACCTTGGCACATTACCAACATATACAAACAAAATAAATCTTCAGGTGCCTGGAAACAGAAAGGCTCCTAAGAAGAGTCTGATCTTGCAAAAGGAAAATTCAATCTCTGATGAAAGCTGTTAGAAAATGTTAAAAGTTGTGGGGGAAATGCATATTTCCCATACTATGTGAAACGGCAGCATAAGGCAGCATGCTTCCCTGAGTTTCTGTTATTTCATTTGTGAAAAAAAGGAAACTTATTTAAATGAAAACTCTAAAATACTGTCTATAAAAAAATCTAGTTGAAAAAAATGAGGTCAGCGCCATTAAAAGCAAGCAATTTGAATTTTGAATTTGGTTGGTGTTACTTTGTATGTATTTTAAGGATCAAAAAACTGGTGCTAGAAATCCTAAGCCTTCGCAGTTAAAAATTCTGCAGTTTAATTTCTAATGGTGCTCATAAATTCCTATAGCACCAAGGCGAAATAGAGGGTTTCTATTTAACTTTGAGCAGATAAAAAAGGACACCCAAGTAAAACACCCAAAATATTCTTTTTAAAACTAATAAACAAAATTTTCAGTGAAACACTACCCTCTGCTGGCCACTGGGTCAGGTTGAAAAGCCAGAACTTTCTAATACCAAGGAATCCTGGAAGAGTAATGTGCTAGCAATAAGCGCAATGCTAGTGTTAAGAGTTATTGTGACCAGTTCTGTTCCAGGGGTCATGATGTGACCTACCTTATACTCAAAATACTGTATAGTATGATACCTAGGATGGTTAAAAGGGTGTTCTTACAGTTGAAAAGTCAACTAAAAAAAAACAAAACACCTGAAACACCACAGAATGTTTTAAGTTTCAAAAGTCACTTCCTTACCATACAGTTTGACTCAAGTCCACATCAGTATTCAACTACCTGATATTTATTCATTCAGCAAATATTTATTCTTCATCTATTACGTGGAGAGCAATAAAGCAATTAAGTGCTGAGGAATCTACTTTGCATATGCTTTCATGCATCATGGAACAAGCCTTTAAAAGTTTTCCTTTTCAGATTTTTGAGCAAAATGTTTCAAAAGTATAAATAGGAGACCAATGAATACAAACAATAGTCTAACTACCTAGCACATGGCAATCAATTTAGTCTTAAACAATATTTGTTGATTTAAAAATTTTTAAAGATTTAGTTTTGCTCTTTATATCTTCACAGTTACAGAATATGAGTGGGCAACAACCAAATACTATGTCATTGGATCTTTAAAATCACAATCCTAGAAACGACTGTGGCTTTCATGCCCACCTCTCCCCAGTTTCCAGACTCAACACAAAATTCCTGTTATGGTTACTGTCGCTAAAGGAGAAGGGGATGACATCAAAGATCTAAACTCCCACAGCCTCTTCCCCAAAACAAAATTTCCCTAGCCCATTGTTAAGTACACTCAGGGAGTTTGCTGTCCTTTTTTTTCCATCTTGGTGACCTCATCTTTCTTTCTATGATTATTCCAACTGTCATTCTTGGTGTTTATTCTATACCACTTAAGCTCCATGACATTTCTTTGGCTACCTCTTGTTTCTAAAGCCAATTCTGCAGAATTTAAACTAGTTATTCACTAATTCAGAACTTTAGCAAAAATTACTCTTAGGCAAAAAAAAATAGAAGTAAAATGCTGTCTATCTTCTCTTTCCTTTCAAAAATCAGGGAACTGCTCAACATCTCCTAAATAGCTCCTCAGGAAATTCAGTTTTCCCCACTCCAGGCTCCATGAAGCTTTAGACATGAGAGGAGCAGCAATGAAGCCTCATAATATTTCTCAATAGGCATCACATTAGGCTTTTACAGTCTCTGTCTCCACTGTTCACATTTTAATCCTCCAAATCATATTACACTGTAAGGGTGCAATAAACCAATAATTTTATTCAATAAATAATTGTAAGATCTTACAAAATTTCCTTCTTACTTAATCTATATACAATTTGAATTTGTTTACAATTATAAAATACTTCAACTGTAACAGTCACAGTGACAATCAAAATCAAATTATGGTCTATCACACTTAACTTCAGAACCTTGATGTGCATTGTTGCTCTTTTCTAAACAGTCTCTCCATGGACAATTTGGTTCATTCAGTTCTCTGGTTAAACACTGACCCCTCAGAATGGCCTTCCCTGCCTTCCTCTCCTTCACTCAACATTAAATCATTCCATATCTCAGTATTCTGCTGTACTTTACCCATAGCATTTCTCAGTCTGTAATTAAAATTACTGTTTAGTGTCTACCCCTATGCAGTAGACTTGTCAGCTTCTTGAGAGCAGAGACCTTACATAGCTTGTTCATGTGTGTAACCTGAGCATCAACATTAATGCCTCACAGATAATATGAGTTAAACTGTTTGCTGAATGAAATGAACTTCTATGCAATGCTTTAAAATCAACCAGGACATACACAATGGCTATCTAATCTTCATATCATAACCATGAACCAAGACATTTTACAATTAAAGAAACAAAAGACAGGGTATGGGGAAGTCTCTGCTCACTGTGATCCTAAAAGTGTTTTAAAAATAAAGTCTATTTTTAAAAAAAGACACCAGGGCTGGGGATTTTAGCTCAGTGGTTCCACCACCTGCCTCGAAAGCGCAAGGTTCCGAGTTCGATCCCTGATACCAAAAAAAAAAACCACCAAAAAGAAATGAAGCCTAGCTGCACACAGCTGGTAACTGGCAGAGCTGACAAAGACCCTGGATTCTGTCAACCTTCCAACTCTTCCAGGCTACTGATGAGCAGTCATTTCACCTGGAAGAAAAAATTACCTTTGATTTATAACAAAAAAGGAAATGCAGAATAGAAATGCTGGTCTTACTCACTTGTGCTGAACTCGGCCTGTGCCTGCAGCCGCAGGTGTAGTCCATCCCCAGCGACATACTGCAGCCCACGGCAAGAGGAAGGTACAAGCCTGACCTCTGCTGGCAGCCAGATCTCCGTGCAGCCCTCAGGGATTATCAACCGGAGGGAGAAGGGAGTTATTGTAACGTCCATGGGCATTCCTCCTCCTTTCGGCTCTCTGATAATTAAAAATAAAACTCAAACACATTAGTTCTCTTTGATGAAAATCACATGATGAAAGAAGAAAAAAATGGCCAAGGATCTCACTCCAGAATAACAGCACAAACAGGAAACCAATCTACAGTAGATTTAGATCAGGTCAGAGAGTACCTTTCCCAGTCATAAATGAAAGTCCTACAACACCTTTTTATTCTTTCGTCTGAGATCAGCATGAATATCAGAGTAATCAGTATTGTTAACTGACATACAAGATTTTGGTAAGGAAACAATAAGTGAAATAAAAGATACAGGAGAAAAACTTCCTGTCATGTTTAAGAAAAAACAAAAACATAGTGACATAAATATTAGGTGTGAAAGGACATACTAATTCCATTCATGATAAACACAGATTACCGTACTCACTGTAGGAAATAAGAGTAAGATGCAGCCCCTGTCCAAAAGACATCAAAAGTATAGAGGGAAAAGAAGGCATGCATAGAAATGTAAGTAACATAGGAAATGACAGTGGCACATACAGAAATGACCCTCCTAGGAAGATGAAATGTGTTTAGCATAACAGAAGTGCAAAGTGCCAAAGCTTCCTTTTTTGTTTTTATTTTTTTGGTGCTGGAAATTGAACTTAGGACCTCCAGTATGCTAAATACCTGCTGCTCTACCATGGAACTAAACAGCAGTCCCCCTGTGGCTCCCTCTTAAGTGCAGATGGCAAGCTATTCACATTGTGTTGCTTAAGTGTAAGTAGGAGGCCATCTCCTTTAGTGTCATCTGAGGGCAGACCATGTGTTCACATGTGAATCTCAGTCAGGCTTCTTAATTTGCCTTAGAAAGTCTTAAAGCTACTTTCTGGCTAGTCCCTTTTCAACGCATATGCATCTGCACTTGATTGGGAATGAAGAATATCAAGAACCTGTATTTTTTTTTGTACCAGGGATCGAACTTGGGACCTTGTGCTTGTGAGGCAGGCGGCAGCACCACTGAGCTAAACCCCTGGCCCAGAACCTATATTTTTTGGAAGAAAAGACAACCTCAAACTCTTCAATCAGTGCAAGATAGGCACCTAAAAGATGAAGGAAGCACAGTGGCCAGGGAAGGAAGTGAGAAACCAAACAGGGCGAGGAGTGACCACCAGAAGGATCACCAAGCAGGTGAGGAAGGTATCTGAGCTGGGGATGGGGAGGCAGCTCAGCATGGGTTTTCAGAGCTTTTCTTGACTATAGCTGCTATTGCAAATTGCAGTCCTCCTCTGGGAGCCATGGAAGAGTGCTTTGGAGATTCCCAGTGCATACTAAAATCCAGATACTCAAGTCCCTAAAGTAAAACGTCATAGTATTTGTATGTGACCTATGCACAGTTTCAAATCATCTCTGCATCACTTAGTGTCTAACACAAAGTAAAGACTATGTAAATGGCTGTTATTCTTTAGGGGATAATGACAAGGGAAAACTCTGTATATGTTTAGTATAGATGTAATTTTTTTCTGAATATTTTTAATCTGCAGATGCTGAACTGAAGCATTTGGAGAGCAACTCCACTGTAGCTAGATGGCCTAATTAAGATACTGCAAAGAGGCATATTTCATCTCAGGTTCTCTTGCTCTTAGAAGGACATCAATCTCATGGTGGGGCTTCATCTTCATGACCTCATCTAAACCTAATTACCTATCAAAGGCCCCATCTCCTAACAGCATTACACTGAGAGATTAGGCATGAACCTGTGGCATGTGCAGTGGGCTGTTTGTATCACTGAAAGAAAGCTCAAAAAGGTTTGCCATCACCGGCTTAGGAATTTAACATATGAATTCCTCGCAGATACGAACATTCAGTTTAAAACAGGGTCCAAGCAGATGAATGAGTGTCAATAATGAGTGGGGAGAGAGGAAGCAGCAAAGGATGCCAGCAGAAGACTAGTTACCTAGTGGGGGACTGAAGAGGGAAATAAAAATCATGAGGGCTAGAATTCTCATTTGGGGAGAACAGAGTTACAAAGAGAAAGGGAGAAAACTAAAATGGACACTGTGCCTGTGCACTGGAATTAGAAATACCTGTGTGTGAAGTCCTGGATTTCAATAAAGAAATAGATAACACTGGTAGATGTAAATGTAATTGTATGTATGCATGCACATCCATATGTGTCTTGGTTACTTCCTCATTGCTGAGACAAAATACCCAACACTCACAAGTTAAAGGCGGAAAGGTTTATTTTAGCTCACAGTTTGTAGAGGTTTCAGTCCATAGTCAGCTGGCTTCAATGCAAGGTGGCATGTAGAGGGCCATGGCAAAGGAGAAACAAACCAAAGCAGAGCAGGCAAGAGGCAGCAAGCAGCAAGCCTCCCTTTCCTTTGTACTACATACAGGCTTCCAGCCTTTTAGGTGGTGGCACCCACACCCAGGATGGGGCTTCCCATTACCCACACTTAGAACTATGACAAACCAATTAGTGGACTAATGCAGTATCACACACCCTTAATCCCAGTATCACACCTTTAATCCACATTCACACACCCTAGATCCAGCCACCTCCAAAAAGCCCCACATATGACCACATGAGGCTTAATGATATATAAACATCATACATACACCATACACAACCCTGTCTCTGAGAGAAGTGACACGGAGTAGTCATGAGTACTCTTTAGGGTTCACGTTCCACTAAAATAAAACAAACCACCACAGTTTCTTGGGGAAAATGACTACAACTAGGGCTGGCACAAGAAAAGAATGACACAAGCCTAGAACACCTTACTATGCATCAAAGTTAGGAAATCAAAGAATGATAGGGCAATGTCCAAAAAAGACAGAGAAACCACCCTAAAGAGACTTCCCTGGCTGCAATAAGTACAGTTTGATAAAAGAAAAAAAAAAAAAGCAATATCTATGTGCTCTTCCTAGCACAATAAAAGGAAAATCCGATGAGGAACAGGATACAGTATTTACAGTCTCATCACTCTTCAATTCTTTTTGATTACGAAGAAAGAGTAATTTTTAGGTAGAGAAATACAACAGACACCAACTTAGCTGTTCAAGGTTAACAAGAGCAGTAATAGAGCAAATCGAAATCATGTGCCACCTGCTAGGATACAGTGAGAACACAGAAACTCTCCGGTATTCCTGGCAAACACTCATAACCTGAATCTATCTTGAGGAAATAAAAATAAACTCAAATGGAGGCATATCTTACGAAACAACTGTGCTATAATCTTCAAGTTTCACGATCATCAAAGAGAAAGAAAAAGAGTAACTCTTCCAGATTGAAATGGACTGAGGAAGCATGGCAATAAAAGGTAATGTACAGCTGGGCATGGTAATACATGCCTGTAATCTCAGCACTCTGGAAGGCTAAGATAGGAAGATCTCAAAGTGCTAGCCAAGCCTGGGTAATTTAGTGATTCAGCCAGACCCTGGAGATTTAGCTCAGTGAGCTGGCCCTAGGTTCAATTCCCAATAGCATGGGAATTGTGCGCACGTGTGCACATGCACACACACACACACACGGTAATACATGATCCTGACTATTAGAAATACTATATGGAAAACTGGCAAAACAAGACGGACGTCTGAGTATAATCTAGAAGTAACATATTTCCCAATATTTAGGATTGCCAAGTGGTTATTTAAGTCTCTTCCTGAGCTGGGCACAGTGGTATATGCCTGTGATTGCAGCATCTAGGGGATCAAGGCAGGAGGATCACCATGAGTTCGAGGTCAGCCTGAGCTACATAGGGAGTTGAAGGCCAGCCTGACCAGTAAGACCCCAAAACAAAACAAAAATTAAATTAAAAATAAAGTCTCCTCTTTTATTACTCTAATTTTAGTGACACAAATCTTTTATACTTGAGGCTTTCTTATATTTACTTGTATTCTTTCAAGTGTCATATCCTGCTTAGAACTATCCAACAATGACTTCACATCTTACTATGAGTACATGCACTCCAAGGACAAACTATAGTCCTTTCAATGTTCTATGAGACCCAATGATAAACTAGACTCAACTTCTGTAAGCTCTGGAGTACCTGTTGTTAAAGTTCCAGGAATCTTGCAAATTGGCTGAACCCATTTTGGTAAGGTAAAGGTCATCTATCCATGGTGAAAGTGTCAACCAAAATTTGTGTCCTGCAGTGACTAAAAATGAAACTGCAGACAGAGGAGGTAGGGTGCAAGCAAATTTATTTACAAGATATAAAGGCAAGAGGGTAAAAGAAATAAAGTAACTAAAGCTCCCACCAGCTGGGAGGGGGTTCTAAGTAGGATACCCCCAGGGCTCTTTGTCTAGGTGTTTTTATGGGATTTAGAAGAGAGCTCAGGCAGCTGCATAAGCAATATAATTTTGGGCAGTGCTGGGGTCAAACCCAGGATCTTGGACATGTTAGGCAAGTGCTTTACCTTTGAGCCATACTCTCAGCCCTATAAGCAATATAATTTCTGCCCTATAGGAGACCAACACAGAGTCAACGCAGTGTTCATGTGCCTTTGAGCCAGTGGCCTGACTGACCATGTGCTAGAGAGGTCTCAGATGGCTGAAGGACCCCAGCAGGTAGTTTTGTGAGATCCCCAGAGGGCTGTAACTCACCAGATTCCATTTTTGGCCTCCCAACTCCATTCTGGGGCCTTCTCTCTACAACCCCTACTACCTAATAGAATCCTAACTCCAGTCTCACTAATCCCGTTACAAAAGTGTTTACACCACAGAAATCAGCAAACAATGCAAATCAGGATCTTTTATTTTTTGGTTTTGTTTTCCTGGAGAGTAGATTGTTAGACATTCACCAGCACATCAAAATAAGACCCTTTGCATGTGCTTTCAGGCTCCACTCACATCTCTCTGAACTAGGTACCCTTTAAACCAAACTGTTCTTTCAGAGGAAGTCTTCCACTAGCCTCCATAGTTTATGCCTCAACCTGTTTTGGTTTACGAACCTAATGTTACTTTCTCATTTGAAATAAGAGATTGCAATATTTTTTCCTTATTCCCCTCTGTTTCCAGGCACTTCTTTTCTGTCCAACATGGTATATTATTATATATTTTATAAAATAGATTGAGGAAGTTGTGAGACCGAAAGTGACTCCATTTTGTGAATGTGGGACCAGAATGACTCCATTTTGTCCAAAATGGAGCAGTCTCCTTTGTTTTCTCAAATTAGTGCTTGAACTGGGACAAAGGACGTAATCCACAACTCAGGATTCCTAAGTTTATTACTCAGCCATCTGTTTGCCCTAGAAACAAATGTCCCAGGCCCATTATCTATAGGACAATCTGTTAACGTGCTGACTGTCCACACAAGGTGGTCGTGGCCATTAGTCAGGATGTCTGCTGACCATCAGTACGTGACAGTAGACCACTAACCTGTGTCCCCATTCTTCTTGTAATAACCTATACGTAATCCCCTTCAACCCCCAATGAGCCTAGCCAATCAAAATTCTACACTTCATACTTGCTACATGTTAACCAATCATATGGCTGCTAATGACCAAAGCTTGTTGTAATCTCAATAAAAAACTCTGCTAATTTGGAACTCTGGGCTCTCAATCTCGATCCGCTGTGTTGGTGACAATTGAGAGTCCCTGCTTAAGCTTGAATAAACGACCCTCGTGTGCTTACATCGGAAACGGCCTCCTGGTGTCTTTGGGACTTCGTAATCTGGGCACAACAAAGTGTCTTAGTTACTTTTCTTGTTGCTGAGACAAAATACCTAACACCCAAAGTTAAAGGAAAGAAGATTTATTTAGCTCACAGTTTGTAGAGGTTTCAGTCCATAATCAGCTGGCTCCAAGGTAGGGTGTCGTGGCAGAACATAGCAAACCAACAAGGGACTTTAACAGCATCTTTCTGCCCTTTTTATCTTGTTCAGACTGCTTAGGGCAGGTAGCACTCACACCCTTAATCATAGTGCCCCTGAGCCTAGCCAAGGGCACCATGAATCAATTCCAGCATCACACACTCCAGATGTAGCCACCTCTGAAAAAGCCCCACCTGTGTCTGAATGACGCTTGGGGGCGGGGCATTTAGACACAAGCCTTAACAGGAAGCATGACAATAAAAGGCAATATATGCATAGCTGGGTGTGATAGTACATGCCTGTAACCTCAGCACTCTGATATTGTATATTTTCTGCTCACCACTGCCCCTCTGCCACCATTAGACAGTAAGCTAAGACAAAGTTTTTTGTTTTTGCTCTTATTATCCATGGTTACATCCCAGCACTTTGAATTTAAGTTTTTGGCACTAAAATAAAAAGTCATAGACATCTGTGGACTGAATAAATGAATACCCAAGGTTTTTCCAAGAATGTTAAAATGGCTTAATACAAATTGATTTTCCTAATGTAACTCATACATGTAAAGAAAAAAAAAGACCATCTCCATATTATACACAGCTAAGTTAGACAAATTAATGAGGGCTTGGACCCTCAAGGAAGTTAGCACAAAAAAATAAAGACATCAGAATTGCGGCTGGAGGCAAATCTGAAGAGACTCAGGCCTCAGGATAGAGAAGCAATAGCACAGTCTGCAAAATAGAGATAAACAGCAGCTTGAGATTATGCTGTAATTAGCACCACTTTAGGCATCAGCCTCAAAAGTGAGTAACCAGAACATCTGGACCTATACTCCCCTGTTTCCAACAATTCCTTTGATCTTTTCCATATACCAATTCCATTGCTATGTGACTTGTTTTCCTACAGGATCAATATTAGCCAAGCAACTACACTTGTAATCCTATAGGTTAATTACAGTTTGACCCACATTGTACCCATACTGTGATTTTGGTGTATAAATTATTCCTAACAATGGGCCCCTCAGTTACCTCCCACTGGGGACCCCACTGGAAATTCAGGAGCTGTTTTTCTCCTTATTCCCAATAAAACTCTCCTAACTTTCTCCCGTGGTTTTTTACTTCATTCTTTAATGTTGTGGGACCACAAACTCAGCATATTTGTCATCTAACAGGTTGGGAGTTATATTTTTCCATATCATCCACACATACAGAAAACTATTATAGAAAATACAACATCTGTTCACAATCAAAACCCTTAAAAAAGAAATACAAAAATTATGCAATTTATCATTCATATTTACCAGAAGCCTACTTCACATCTCATGATAAAATCCAGAAGCATTTAAGATTAGGAACACAACTGTAACAAGATTTACAATAACTATAAATGTACTCAAAATCCTAATTAAAATGCAGAGATTTGTAAAAATGGGCTTAAAAAATCCCTGGATATATACTATTAAAAATGGATTATAAAGACATTAAAAGTAAAAGAGTAGAAAAAAATACCATGCAAACAGTAAAGTCAACTAGTTTCTGATAAAAATACACTACTAAGTTATTTCAATGGCAAAAATGATGGTCATCTTAATGACAGTGATGGAACAACTAGATATCCATATAGAAATAATAAACTTTGACTACTACCTCATTGCCAGCAAAAACTCAACATGATCACACATCAAAATGTAAAAGCTAAAATGATGTAATTCCTATAAAATAAAAACAGGAAAATATCTTCACAATATTAAAATAGGCAAAGTTTTAAGATATAAAAAACACTAATGTTCAAAGGAAAAAGGGGTAAGCTAGACTTAATTAAAATTAAAATTTCTGTTCATCAAATGACACTACACGTTGAGCATCCCTAATCCAAAAATATGAAATTCAAAATGCTCTGATATCTGAAACTTTTTCATTTTGAAGCATTTTTGGATTTCAAATTTTGGGATTGGGGATGCTCAACCAGTAAGGTCTATGCAAATATTCCAAAATCTGAAAAATTCTAAAATCTGAAACAATTCTGGTATCAAACTCTTCACTTAAGGGATATTCAACCTGTTTTAAGAAAATGAAAAGCCAAGTCACAGATTAGAAGAAAATATCTGCATATTCAGGCAGCTTATATATGAAAAAGATCCTGATGTAGACTACACAGAGCACTCTTTCAATTGAACAATAACAACCAACCTGTTTTATTTAAGGGTAAAGCAAAACAAAACAGAACAAAAACCTTAGAAAAATTTTACAATTTTACAACATACATCAATTGCCAAAAGAGCAAATGAAAATATGCTGAACATCACTAGTCACCAGAGAAATGCAAATTAAAACCATAGTGTGATATTCTATTCCTATTAGAATGGTTCAAACCAAAGACTGACAATACCAAAGGAAGGAAAAAATATGAAGCAACTAGAGGTCTATGGCAGTTTCTCAGTTATGCCCACTTCTATTCTATGTTTCAGCAACTTCAGGCATAGGCATTTACTCAAGGAAAAAAAAAAAAAGGTATGCCCACAAAAAAGAAATAAATAAAACTATGCCAATGTCAGCTGTACTCATAATGAGCACAACCTGGAAACAGGCAAAATATCCACAACAGGAAAACACATAAATTAACTGTGGAACATTCACAGCATGAAAAACTACTCAGCAAGAAACAGAAATAAACTACTGATATATGGAACAATACAGATAAAACATGAATTCTAAAAACATTATGTTGAAGGGAAGCAGCCAAAAACAAAAAAGTACATACAGCCTGAATCCATGTATATGTAATTCAAGAAATGGCAAATTCTATTGAATAAAACCAGAAAAGTGGTCTCTTCTAGGGTAGGGGAACTGACAGATGACAAAGCCCAACAGTCAAAGACGAGGAACAAACCAGCAGTCCAGGTTTCTTAATTTGTTTAAAAAAGTTCTCCGAGGGACCAGTAAACCTGGAAAGAAGAAGCTGTTGGGGTGGGAGTGGTAAGGTTTGGGCTGCTAATTATCCCACCAGGTGAACTGGAATTGGGGATATTTGCTCGATCTTAAAAAAAAGTCCAGGAAATACGAAATATAGTATATCATTTTAAAATTGAAGAAATTCAGATTAAATTATTCTACCTTTTTGAGGAAGTTAGGATTTGAACTGAGGGGCTGGGGATTTAGCTCAGTGGTGCTGGTACAAAAAAAAAAAAAAAGGATTTGAACTGAGTACTCATGCCAAATCCAAAACTACTCTAACAGGTGCCCAGCAGATTCAAGGAAAAGAGAAAAAGCAAAGCATTAACCTAGCTCAGGATCTTAACGTCCAACTTCCTTCATGTGTAATAGCTGTCACAAGAGCCACGGGATCATAAACCATTCAAATTGCTGCCCCCCCATGAACATTTTTTTCCTGTTTCTTGCTTGTATAGTGAATAACCAGTTAAAAGTTTGCAGATTTCTTACTAGAACTTGGAATATAAATTTTAAAAATGAGCTTCAACAAAAAATCCGCAACCCCCTTTCATTCACTCACTGAATACAAGTTTACTGAATGATACTATTATCCCCACTTTGAGCTGTCAGGGAAGGGGCGGGTGCAAATGAGGTTATTTCCACAACAAGGAAACACGCATTGGAACTTTATAACGAAGATCCTTAGAAGTCTTTGTACTCTTTTATTAAAAACGCCAGACACCTACTAACGGTGTCTTATATCTGTTTCTCACATTGTAACGCGCATCTGAATCCTGGAAATTCTGTTAAATCTAAGTTCTGAATCAGCAGATCTGGGTGCAGCTGAGACCCTGCATTTCTCAAAAGCTCCCACCGACGCCGAGCTGTCGTCCGCGCGACGAGGAGCGGTCTGGCCGCTGCGAGCAACCAGAAGAAGCAGCTCCGCGTCCGCGTCCCGAGAGAGGCGCAGGCGGCCCCACCGGACTGGCGGCGGAAGGCGGGCTCAGCGGCCGCCCAGCACCCACAGCCCCTCCCGGCTTACCCCACGATCAGCAGCGCTCTCCGCAGCCGGCTCCGCACCTCTAGGAACACGCGCGCCCCCGCCGCCATCGCCTGAGCGCCGGCCACGCGGGACACAGCCTGCGACTCGGACGAACCCGGGCAGCCCCGGCCAGGGCCTGCTGCACGTGCGCCCAGAGCGGACGCCGGGCCCGACCGCACGGAGGGCAACGCCGGGTGACCCACAGCGCCGCCTGCCGGGCGGAGAGAGCCCCGCCTCCTCTGGGTCCCCGGGGAGGGACGAGCTTTCAAAACTCGGCTTTGGCAGGGAGTGCTGGGGAGGCTGAGCCGAGCGTCCTCAGTTCTTGATTTTTATGAGCTCAACTTGGAGCGTTAGCCTCCCTGGAAAAGCTCGTAAACTCGGACCAGGGTACACTTCCTTTGCTAGCTTGGGCAGGGACGAGATAATGGAGTAGAGGCAACAGAGGTGGTACTATCCTCAGCAGGAGCAAGAGCTGAATTCCCCACCTTGAAGCCCTACTTCCATCCCTTTTTAAAGAACTAGAGTCTTTGTTGAGCTCTGAGGCCAGAAGTGTCAAGGATTGATAAAGCATTTCAATTTAGACATAGTACCTCCAAAATTGAAAGTGTAATGAAATTTTCTGCTACCAATGTAGAAGAGTGTGATTGAAGTCTTGAAACACAGGACTCATCGTTCACCTTTGAAAAGAAAGGAACATGAAACTAATTCCAGATGTATGGTCCCGCTATTTTCAGAAGTAAAAACTGACTCAGAGAAATCATAATCTCATTACTATTACAAGATAATTTTTGAAAGTTTGACACAGAAAAAGATCTGGTAGTGTAAATATTTATAGTTGGAAAACAAATATAAGGCCACAGTAGAACAATGTACTTTAAAAACAAAAGGGTATTTTTAAAATGATGGCTTGGTAAAGAAAACCCTGCTTATTGATGTTCTCTTTATCATTTCCAAGTCATAATTACTGATTCCCAGATACCAAACATAAAGCTTTATTTTATTTATTTTGTTGTTTTTTTGAGTCAGGGTCTCACAATGTAGCTCAGCTGGTCTCCAACTCACAGTGATCTTTCTGCCTCACCCTTTCCAGTGCTCAGATTACAGGTGTGCCACTACACCCAGCTGAAGCAATTCTAAGTAAATATGGTAAATCCTTTAGTGTCTCTATAGATACATGTTTAAGACAATTTTTCTAAAACCAGTATTTGGAATTTTTTAAAGTTTATCATGTTGCTGAACAAGTTCTTGTTCTATTACAATTGAAATAATTACAGAATATCTCAGTTAACTACTATTTGGTTTCAATTCATCTATTTGAAGGGTGGCAATCGTTTTTCATATTCTCCATTTTTAACCTGCAAGACTTTCAAATGCTTAAATACATATTATAATACATAGTATTCTTAGAACAGCATGTTCTCTATAGTTGGGGATTTTTTACTTTAAAATATTATTATATTTTCTAGTCACACCTTTGTAAACACTTGTTTTATTCTATGGTGTGGGAAATGGCACAGTCCTCGGAGCAGCTTGACATGATTAAAGGGCTCCACACGCAAAAGTTGTGCCAAATGTGATACCAATCATGTGTCTCCTAACTTTACACATGTACTCTGAGCCTTAAGTCATTCATCTAAAATGTTAAGGAATTCTTTAACTACTGCTCAATTATATTTGAAGCTATTTTTAATTTTTATCCTTTCAAACTCTCCATCAAAATGAGACTTGTCCTGGAGATTTAAAAACACCTGTTTAAAACACCTTTCCCTCCCATACCATTAGTTAGCGTCGTGGCCGCTTCCTACAAATGACCATTTGAGGGCGCCGTGGTAACAGCGCCAGCAGGTCTGGAGCGGTCTGGGGGTGGGGACCGAGGGCCCTAGACGTCGACGCCGGCGTGGGCGTGCGCGGTGCACACTGGGAGCTGTCACTAGGCCCTTCGGCTCCCGGTCTTCTCGTCTCTCCCTCGGTGGCCAGGAGAGCGGCGCCGGCGGGAAGCGTCTGAGCTCACGGCAGGTAACCGCGTCCCAGCCCCAGGCCGTCTCCTTCACCCGCCTCGTTCGGCAGCCGCAGGGACGCTCTACGGGTAGGGCTGCGGTGATGTCGGGAGTGTTGCCGCCCCGGCCTGAAGCCGCGACGCCGCCGGCCGCCTCCTGGTTTCCTGGAAGCCGGGAGCTGTGCGAGGGGCCTGGGGCTGGAGCCCGTCGGAGGTGCAAGGGTGGCCAGGGCAGCTAGACCGGAGGCGGCCCAGGCAGCCGCTGGCCGGTCCGACCCTCCGCGCTGGGGTCAGCGTCGCGCACGGCTGGGGCCGAGGTCGCACCTGTGCGGTAAAGGCGCTCAGAGTCCCCTCTTTGTTGGAGGAACGAAGGAATCAAGTTGTCTCATTCGTCTGGTGGGTTTTTTTTTTTAATGATCGAGGAGACAGGAATAACAGCTATAGTTTCTGTTCTCTTGTAAAGGGGTTGCCGTAAAAGGCGTACCGAAGTTCGCCAGGAGGAAGTCAGAGTAGTCAAGGAAGTTAACAGTTTTCACCTTTGATTCCCAATCCTTTAAAAAAAAAGGTGCAACCTAGCAATAGTTACTTGTCCTGTCTCCATTCTCTTCTATCCTGAGGGGGAGAGGAAGGCACGCAGTTGTACTGTTTTAAAGCTCAGTAATTTATGTCTTGGTTATTCTTACATTTCCTTAGAGTTGTATGGAGTTTGAGAAAAACAAAGATTGGAAAAATCAGATTTGAAGACTGTAATTTAACATTTCTAGTGATCACAAAAATATATGAAAAGGTATGCCTGACCCAAAAGCCCTGAACTATAGCTATGAGAAAACTCAGTTTCCATGTTGTTGGCTATTGCTTATGCGGCTATAAATTCTTATATTTCAGTTTTATTTGTAAATATGCCCTTTGGTGAATAACATGTCAGCATTATGTGATAAGTAGCCCTGCCCTGATAGTTAACACAGTGGTTTAGTTCAGTTAACTGATGGACAAATTAAAACTACACATGATCCAAATACTGGTTTAATGATTACTTTCAGCTAAGCTTAATCATTCCTCAATTGCTAAATGATAAATCTCCAGGTGGACTTCATTAGGAACCCAATTTTTGAAAAAAATTAACACCTTAGTTAATGCACAAACCACAAAGTATGACACCACAATCAGAATATTAAGTGTAAATTAAATATTTGTATAAAAAGAATTCTATTTACATCCTCTGGCTGAGGATGAAGGAATAAGGTTGAGGTTCTTCTAACAAGGTGGGATCTCTTTAGACCTCCAGTATTTTTATCTTTGATTTGTTTTGTTTTTCGTTTGGTGGTGCTGAGGATCAAATCCATGACCTTGTGCATGCTAGGCCTCAGCTTTGTCATTTATGGGAATTTGAAAAGACCACACTATTCCCCTAAACATGACAAATGATCTGGAAACACACTGCGTAAAACCAGTGTGTTTTTGTTTTTTGCTATAAAGGCAAGACTCCTCAACCTTTACTGCTCTGCTTTACATGTATATAATCTCCAGGAGAAGATTATTGTAGTATTTCCTAAATTTACCTAGACAGCCTCTTTTGTCATGGCCAACTGGTTAATATCTATTAGAATATAATTACGTAGAATACCAACTTGAAAATTGCTATCTTTGAGCTGTGTCTGCCTTCAACTGTGAAATTCTACACTTTAGGCCTTTTTTTTTTTTTTTTTTGCCATCAGTATAACCTTTTTGGAGCCTGAAAATTAATGATTCAATGATATGACAAAAGAATCGTGTTTTCCTTGGTAAAATATTAAGGATGCACCTGTGTCTTTTATGAGTCTTAATGTTTTAATTTGTGGCAGAGGATTATCTTCCCTGGTCTCTTGATGCTTTTCTAAACCATAATTAATTCATGTTTTCAATTTGACTTTATAGTTATTGATTTTATTCACAATGCCATTTTAAGTTTCCAAGAAGACGTGATGATATTATTTTTACTATGATCTCCATTTCTAGCCATGAATTCTTAAAACTATGTGATAGAAGATACCTGATGTACTTAATATTTAATAGCTACATAATTTTAAGAGTTTGGGTCATCAAGAAGAGATAAAGTTTAAAGCAAATTCTGAGATGTTATTTCAAACAAGATATGAATGTTGAATATAATCTTAAATTATTTTGCTAAACTCTGTAAAGTCTCATTAGTATGCAACCCAGGTAAATATTGGGTCTGTTTGTTACTTTGTTAAGGGTAAATGCTATTAATGTACAGTCTGGGGAGGGGGACTGGTAGGTGGGAACAATATTTAATAGATAAGCTTTAAATCAAGCAAATTCCCTCCCTGAAATAAAGCTATTAAGTGTGAAACTAGTATTTTTGTATTGTAAAGCTAATAAGTAACAAGTTTTTATTGAGAAACTTTTTTTTTTTCGCGGTACCGGGTATTGAACTCAGGACCTTGAGTTTGCAAGGTAGGTGCGGTGCCACTGAGCTAAATCCCCAGCCCAAGAAACTATTATATGAGAAAAAATATTTGGATTCCCTTGTCTTTAAACTATGATTTCCTTTTGTTTTCCAGTACCTCTTTCTCCCTAAACCTGAAACGTCAACTTTCTTTCATTGGATAGATCAAAGATAGTATTAAAGTTATTAAGGAAAAATTTACATATAATAATGTACACCCATTTTGTGGTACATTTCAATGTAACCCCCGCCAAAACGAAGACTTCGAACGTACCACCAGTCGAGTCTGTATTATGCTTTTATTCTCTTAGAATTATCCTCCATCTCTACATGTCTAAATTATACCTGTGTTTAAAGTCCCAGCTCAATGCTACCTTGTCTGTGGATCTTTTTTGATTACCTCAGTTTGAATTAATATTCTCTTCTTCCAACTTTTCTATATTTTTAAAATACCCTTCTCTGTCCATTATGATAGCTAAACCAATGACATCCACATAACATATTTATTGACCAAATAGTGCAAGCTGCAATGTTTTTTATGGACTTCCGGAATATTTTGTTACTTTACACAGCCAATGGTATTTCTTTTTAGGAAAAGACTGCATAAGGGTATGGATATTAGGAAATGAGGATCACTGGATGCCTGTATGTGAATATTTGTCTAAATGGGCAATGCATATTTGTTTAATATGTAGTTTATGCACTGTTCATTGTGTTTTT